ATTAATTCTGTCTGGTGGCAATTCGATTGACTCCTGCCTCCATTCCTTAAAGCCCCGGCCCCAACCTCCCTGTGGAAAAAGCCGGTTTCACGTCCATTTGTAAATTTATTTCAACATTCCTTTATTCCACATAAATTTCTGTTTTTCTGATTTCTCCTTTTAACAGTTATAACATCTGCCTGGTTCCCTCATAAACAGTGAAGTAAATAAAATCTGTAACACATGTTCATTTTATATCTGTATGAGAGTCATCATTTTACCTTTTCTGAAAATTTCCTTTAACAAATGTATCAATCTTTTCCATTACAGTTTGCGTTTTTGAGTCTTAAGAAACTATTCCCTCCCCTAAGCTTATAAAGATATTCTCATATATATTCTTCTAGGCCTATCACAGTTTTGTTTTTATTATTTAAGCTATCTGCAATAGATTTTTGCTTATGGTGTGAGATGGTAAAGTAATTTAATGTTTTTCCCTATGGAGAGCCAGTTTTCCTAGCATCGTTTACTAAACCATCCATGTTTCCCCCACTAATTAGTAATTCTATCTTTGTTGTGGAGCAAAACTCCCTCATGCCCACATGTGTTACAGAGGTCCAATTTTTCTGTTTCTGCACCAACGTCACGCTGCCATAATTCCTACAGGATTATAAGAAATCCCGACATCTAGTAGGACAAATCTCCTGCCGTGTTCTTTGTGTTTAAAATTACCATGTCTGTTACTATCTCTTTACTTATCAATTTTAGAATCAGCTTATGAACATCCACAAAACACTCGTTGGGATTTTCATCTAAATTCTATTGCATTCACAGATTACCTTGGGGAGAACTGACTTCTTGAGGATTTTATCTCTTCCCATTCACAAACATGGTAGCTATCTCCATTTGTTTAGATTTCTTAGAAAATTTTTTTCATAGAGTTTTATAGTTTTCTCCACACCAAGTCTTGCATCCCATTTGTTAGTTCAATTCCTAGGTAGCTTGTGGTTTTCTTGCTGTTGTAAATGGTATTTTTCAGATCTTTATTACTGGTATGTAGTAATGTAAAGGATTTTTGATATATTGATATTATGTCCAGCCACCCACATATGTTCTTAAAGTTAGAATTTTAATGTGTGATCCCTCAGCCAATTCTTAGTCCTTCTTGGACACAAGGGACTCATTTTTGTTTTTAAACCTTCCTGTGGAAGATTTTTCAACTCAGTATTTTGCAGTGTCAGGCACATTTCAGACACATTCAATAAATATTTGTTAAATAATGGCCAAAAGAAGGCAGCTTCTTTTGAAGAGCTGTGCATTTCTCTATGATTTGCAAATTCCATATTCAGCTATGTAAGCATAAGAATATGATCTATGTGTCCCCTCACAATTTTATATACGTAAAATCTAGTTAAAATAAATACTGAGAGCAACCCTCAAAGAAGGGAGGTAGGAATGGAATATCACAAACTGATCTCTAGAGGGAAGTGAGAAGAGGGCACTGTTGCTAGGCAACTGACTTCATCCCTGGCAGTTGCTGACCCAGTTCCATAAGGGTCTCCTTTCCCTCCCTCCTCTTCCTCACCCCCTCCTCTTCTCACCTGATGGAGTCAAGAAAAAGACCACCCAGGGGAGTGGGAGTGGGGAGTGAAATGTTTGCTGAGCCGATCTCATGTCTGGGATGAAGCTATGATCCAGCTTCTAAAATGCACATTATAGATCAAGATTTATTTTCCCCTTCTGGAGAAGATATTCTGGCATTAAGTTCAGGTTGTGATATGCTTGCTCAGTGATTGTAGACTTGGATTGTTGAGATCTGAAAGAACCCCAGAGATGCAGTGGCCATGTTTTTGAAACAAATTGTCCCCTGATGAGGAAATCATAACAGAATTTTGAATCAGGTGAGGGCTTTAGGGTAGGAATGATGGGTTCTGCCTTGGTGCTTGAAAGGATCGTGGGATATCCACATCCATATATCTGAGAAGCGTGGGACTGGAGGCTCCCGAACTGTCTGAAGCGAGACCCACATTGACGCGTCGTCAGCATGTGACTGGAGGTCCAAGCCTGGGCAGTAGAGGAATCACCACGGAAGGCTTGTCATGTGAGAAGAGAAGAGGCTGGGCACCGCCTCTTAGAGCAAGGGAAGAGATGCCTGCCAAGGACGCCTATGAGGAGCAGCTGGAGAGGTAGGAGATGAAGGGGAGGAGTGGGGACAGGAGGCACATAGTGTTTTGAGGAGGAAGTGAGAAAGTGCCAAATGCCAAGGAGAGGTCAAGGAAGCTCAGCCAGGCGGACTTAGCACAAGCTGACCACAGGTGACCACGGTGGGTCGGTGAGTTCTGTGCTTGTGCCCCTTGGCCTGAAATGATGAGGCCTCGCTCTGGCTAGTTTGGTCAAACCACTTCACTTCTGTGGGTCTCTGTTTGCTCGTCTATCAGGTGGGCATGATAACTTCCTTAAGGACTGTTCTAAGGATTGCTAGCAAGATATTCAGCGTCTTGATAATGCCTCTGCCCTTTGCTCCTATGTCTTTGTCCTCCGTCACCCAAATCTCACCCTCGGAGCTCATCTGACAATCTCCTGCCTCCCACATCATCTGAGCCTCTCCCTGCAAATTCCCTTGTGCTTAAGTTTTCTGTGGAAACTTTATTCTGATATGAGCATGCACGACACGAGAGTGCTGCACTGCTTCCCCATCCTGTCCTCCCCACCCTCCCGCAGAAGCACAGTCCCACCCTGAGTCCAGACCTCGGTCATCCCTTCTGACTGTGACTTGTATTCTCTGGAAGTTGAGGGAACAAGTGAGGTGAATGTCTCCTTTGAGACAGACTGTCCTTTGAGTGATTCTAAGTGGAGATGTTAATGTGACCCTTCTGTTTTCTCCACCAAAAGGATGGGTGTTTGCTAGGAAACCAACAATAAGTGTTAAACACACCGAGCATGAAAATGCTCCCAACCTAAAGCACTCTAATCATATCCAGATGAATTTTTAGCTGCTGCTCCATTATCATCTTTCACAAAAGTTTAATTTGACAAATACTTAGTGAACTTGTACTTGCAAGGAACTTGCAAATCGCAGATCTTATCGTGTCATTCCTCAACTCAAAAGCCCTCTATGCCCTTCTACCACAAAAGGAAGTCAAAACTGCTTAATCTGACCTACAAAGCCAGCCTTGTCCTACAACGCTGCCCACCCCAGCCTCATCGGGCTGCTGCTCTCTCTCTACTCTACCTCTTGGCTCTTCCTGAAAGCCCATCCTGCTCTTGCCTGCATGACGTCTTGCCATTCTTCAAAATCTAGCTTCAAAGATACTATTAACTGGACAGCTACATGCAAAAGAATGAAAGTAGACCACTACCTTTCTCCGTACATGAAAATAAACTCAAAATGGGTCAAAGGCTTGAAGGTAAGACCTGAGACTATAAAACTTCTAGAAGAAAATATAAGCCATACAACTCTTTGACGTTGGTCTTAAAAGGATCTTTTTTAATATCGTGTCTTCTCAGACAAGGGAAACAAAAGAAAAAACAAACAAGTGGGACTTCATTAGACTAAAGAGCTTCTGCAAGGCAGAGGAAACCAGGAACAAAACGAAAACACAACCCATCAACTGGGAGAAAATATTTGCAAATCATATATCCGACAAGGGGTTAATCTCCATAATATATAGAGAACTCACACAACTGAACAACAAAAACACAAACAACCTGATCAAAAAATGGGCAGAGGATATGAACAGATGTTTTTCCAAAGAAGATATACAGATGGCCAATAGGCACATGAAAAGATACTCAACGTCACTTAATCATCAGGGAAATATAAATCAAAACTACACTAAGATATCACCTTACACCTGTTGGAATGGGTAGAATCACCACGACAAAAAATAATAAATGTTGGAGAGGGTGTGGAGAAAAGGGAAAACCCTCATCCACTGCTGGTGGGAATGCAAACTTGTGCGACGAGTATGGAAAACAGTATGGAGTTTCTCAAAAAATTAAAAATAGAAATACCATATGACCCAGCTGTCCCACTTCTGGGTATTTATCCAAAGAACTTGAAATCAACAATTCAAGGAGACTTATGCACCCCTATGTTCACCCCTATATTCACAATAGCCAAGAGGTGGAAGCAACCCAAGTGCCCATCAACTGACAAATGGATAAAGAAGATGTAGTATATATACACAATGGAATACTATTCAGCCATAAAAAAGACAAAATCATCCCATTTGCAACAACACGGATGGACCTCAAGGATATTATGTTATGTGAAATAAGCCAGACAGAGAAAGACAAACACTATGATTTCACTCATATGTTGAAGATAAACAAAGATGAAGAGAACAATTTAGTGGTCACCAAGTGGAAGGGGGTCAGGGAGCGGGCATAAAGGAGTACATTTAAATAGTGACTGACAAATAATAATGTACAACTGAAATTTCACAATGTTATAAACTATTATGACCTTAATGATAATAAATTAAAAAGATACTATTAAGTCCAGACAGAATGAACTGCTTGTTCTTGTTCACCAATGATTTTGGGAGTGCATGCATTCATTCCACAAAGATTTTGTCGACTATGAACTGAGGATGTCTGTCTGCCTTCTTTCTATATAGGGCACAGGTGGTAACTCTTCTATGCTGGGATCTGTCATAAGGATTTCCCATTGGTGACAAAACTATAGCAACTGGTAATTCTTTGATTTCACAAATTATGGTCCTGACTTAATAAATACAGAGTCGAGAACTTTAAAATTTAAAAAGCAGCTAGTAATTATCCCAGAATGGTTTTTAAAAAATTATATACGCTGTTACCCAATTATGCTCAGCACAGCCGTGGGAGATGTCCTCCTATATTCAGGCTTTGTTCAAACTTTGTTAAATTGGTATGTTCCCAGAGGCTTCTACTTGAGAGAGCAAGGATTGTTGGAAGTTGGAAGCTCCCTGGAATCAGAAAGCTCCTTCCTAAGGAAATAAATGGCTTCTCCACACGATACATAAACAATTCACCAGCTATCAGCCGTCAAGCGTGGATTATTAAGAAAACCAATTTTTGTTTTTCTTTTGACACAGGCTTGAAATTCTTTCAAAATTTCTGTGCATAAACAGGCCCCAGTTTATGCAGCCCCTGCCTATTACCCACAGCCTTTGCAACAAAATATCTGATGGTGCAATGTATCTTTGAAATGTGTCCCTTTTCCATCCCTCATGTATGTTCCTTTGAGCTGGGGTGCATTTCCCAGCAAGATCCTAAATTATAACCAGTTGTATTGCCAGAGTTTAGTGAAAAAAGCAGAAACCAATTTGAGTAGTTTGGAGGGAATTTAATAAAGGGAATTCATTATATAAGTGATGAAAGAGCAGAGAAGCCAAACAGAGATTAGCAACAGCTGGAAGCTACCACGGCTGGGAGGGCAAAGGGAGCAGAGGACGTTAATGGAGCCGAGGACGCTGCATCAACTGGCAGGCATCAGTGCCAAAGAGGAGAAAAAGCTGTAACCAAAGACACCACCCAACGTAGAGGGAGGGAGAAAAGGGCCATGGCTTCTCCCCTTCCCACTCCAATCATCCTGGCACTTCCATTGGCCAAATGGAAGCTACATCAAGCCAAAGGGCAAGGACTCTGCAAGGTGTGGTTCCCTGAAATAGCAGACGGGAGCTGGGGAGAGGCAGGGAACTGGTCTGAGAGCAAACAGGAGCACAATCCATGCCTTTGAGCTCTAGAGATGAAGCTCTGCCACACCAGTGTCCACTTTTAATCCAGGTCTCATCACAGACCTCCTCATAACCCATGGGCAACAAGCGCCAGCTCACTGGGTATCGTGAAAGATGCCCTGTCTTCTCCACGAGGACTGGGCAACCTTTGGCAAATACAACCTAATTAAGTTTTGTTTTGTTTTTCTAATGAAGTTTTAAAAATACTTTTCTAAGGGAGAACTTAATATCTCTGCATTATGATCATGTCCCACATTTACATTTCAAGTGGTTGTCAGGAGTTTATCTCCAATTAATAAATGTCTTTCTTTTCAACATTTAATATTCAAATTCCTGCTCATACAAATGCATCTTACTACCATTTTAGCAACATTTATTCCCTAGAGGTTTTTCTTGGTTTGGTTCTTTGTTTAGCAGAACTTTCAAGGAGCACTTTGAGAGCTTTAGGCAAATTTAAATAATCTCCTTGAAGTCTGAAGACGCTTCTCAGTGCACTGCAGGGTTCTTTCGCTAGGCTGAGCCCCAGTCGTCTGAAAGTCATTTGCCCAAATCATTTAGCATGTACTCCTGGGAAATTCTATAGGTGCTAGGAAACTTGCAACAATGTAGTGCAACAGGAATCTGTTAAAAAGCACCTACAATAAGAGGAAGCAACAGAAAAATGTTAGTTGTATTCACAATTAAACAGGAATATTAAAACCACACATTAACTTTTGGGAACCATAATCTTCAGAAACTCTTGTCTATGTTTAAACCACAATATACAACCCCTTTACTATTTTACATCCATCTTTTTATTATAAAAATAATAAATGTTCATTATCGAATATTTAGAAAATAAGGAAAAGTATAATAATTAAAATTTTTTAAAACTTCATGACCCCAACATCCGAACATAACCTCTATTCACATTTTGATGCATACCGTGTGTGTGTGTGTGTGTGTGTGTGTAAAACAACCTTATGGATGGACACACTGCAAATACAGTATTATATCCTGATTTTTATTATATACTGTTTTGTTGATTTACCCATGCTATAATTTTCCCCATTAAAAAATCATTTTAATTGGCTCGTAATATTCCATGGTGTGGCTTTACTATAATTTATTAAATTATTTCCCTTTTGTTAGACATTTAGGAACCACATTGCTACTCATGCCTTGACAAGCCAATATGAGGAGACTGGTTTTTAGTCTGAAAAAGGAAGTAACATCATCCTGAAAGGAGCTGGTGTTTCATCTCCCAGCCCCGGGCTCTCTCTGCTTTCACAGTAGCTGCCGGTGCAGGCTTCTCCTTTTGCCACTCTGAAGAGGTGGAGTGACAGATGAGGCCACCACCTAGAGGAGCTTGGACCAAAGGAGTGGCGATGGATCATCATTAAAGTGATGATTTTGAAAAAGATGATCCTGGTTCTTTAGAAATTCCTGGTCACTGCTGACATATCTAACAGTCTATATGAACATAGACATTTAGATGTTTGGAAACCCCCGTAAAGTGAGCGATGAATTAGGAATGCCAGAGAAGGCTGTGGTTAGTGTCTCATTTGATTTATTTGGGGTACCCATTGGGTCTTATTGTTCCTTTTCTGTTTTTCTAGTAGCATCAAGGATTTGGAGTGAGATTGCCCCGGGGTAGTCCTTTTTTTTTAAAGATTGGCACCTGAGCTAACATCTGCTGCCAATCCTCTTTTTGTTTTTTGTTTTCTTTTTTCTTCTTCTTCTCCCCAAAGTCCCCCAGTACATAGTTGTATATTCTAGTTGTAGGTCCTTCTAGTTTGGCATGTGGCACGCCGCCTCAACATGGCTTGATGAGCGGTGCCATGTCCACGCCCAGGATCCGAACCGGTGAAAGCCTGGGCCGCCAAAGCAGAGCGCATGAACTTAACTTCTCAGCTACAGGCTGGCCCCGATAGGGGTAGTCTTTACAGCACTAAAAGCTGTCTTATTAAACATGTTTATGCTACTCCTATATTTACACTATCCCCTAGATGTTTATATATAGGAAAATAATAACAAAAACATTATAAAATTGTTACAAGAATTAAATGAGATGATGCATAAAGAATTTAGCTCAATGATTGGCTAACAAAATACTCCACAGGCTATTAGCATCATCATTGTTATCTTCATTTGAATAGGACTTTATAGCTTACAAAGAACTTTCACATAGATTTACACTTCTAGTTGCCACAACAACTCGAGGAAATAGGCAAGGGTGAGGATCCTCTTTGTCTCCTGGTACTTGCACACTGCAGCTCACGATGCTCATTTGCCAATGGCCATTTAAATGGCCTTACTGGACTGCATTAGTATCGACTGTGACTAGCGAAAGCAGGTAGACTGAGCAGATGAGGCCCCGCAAACTGCCCTCTCTTCTAGCAGAGACATCGGCTCTAGACTCCCTGCTAATGAACTGTTTGAGGTTAGCAAGTTACTTAGCTCACTCTCAGCCTTTGGCCAATGTCAATAATAATACCACCATATCCTCTAATCTAGGGTTAATGTTACGAGTACAAAGGAAGATAAGGCAGTTGAAATTATGTCTCTTTTTAGGAGTGGAATTTAGATTGAAAAGTATTCTGACAAGACTTTTCTAAACAACAGAGCAGTTACTAATTGAATATAACACTCTAAGCATTCCTGTGGAGTGTTTAATATGAGCATTTAACATCCTCTTCCTTCCGAGGGAGCTGCTTGCAGCCCAGGTGTACAGGAATCCTCCAAACTAGTCCAACGCAGATCTACAGACTGGTTAAACACTCATCTAGTGGCAAGAAGTTGGAGGAGAGTTAGATTTGGGGGAAAAAAATCCAAGGGGATAACCATGATTCAGTGAGAGGACTGGCTCCAAAGTTGCATTCCAGGTCAAGGTCATGGCTCCCTGCATAAACTGAAGAGCCCAGGGGCCTCAGAGTCAATGGTTTGGCACTTAGGAGTGTTGCAGGTCAAGCATAGTGTTTACACAGTTCATCAATTCGTTTTCAAAGAGCTGCCCCCAAGTTAGCGGAGTGGATCAGTTCTAATCACTAGACAATCAAATAGCCAGCAAAGGCATCCCATGAGGGGACGAAGGAAGAAAGCAGGACACACCCACCATTTGGCTGTCCTAATGGTTTAAGAACCAGTCATGACAGACCCAGTCATGTCAATCTTCTGTTGCATATTAGCACTCGACCATTAACCAACTCAACAAGTGTTCCCTTCATTTTCAAAGTACTTTTATAGACACAACTGAAAAGCAATCTCTTTGGTTTCATTAAGCGCTGGAATGGGAATTGTAACTCAGGTGCATCAGCAGAAGGACAGACCTTTTCCGAATTAGTGGGACAGGCAAGGAATGAAATAGGAGTGTTGCTTAAATCACGGGCTCAGAGTTCCCAGTCTGGTGGAGAGCTTTTCTGGAAATACAAAGAGAGGCAGAAATAGAAGTGATATTTGGATGGTGTTAAACTGTATTTCACTCCACCCAAGAGAAGATGTGGATGTCAACTGCCTACTACAGATCACCAAAGTAGCACAGATAAAGCATAGAGCAGTAATAAGACTTGAATGGTCCAAACAGCTGCTTAAAGTTTCCTTCTGCTAAAAACAGAGCATCTGACAAATTCTTGACTTGCCTTGGCATTTTTGTGTCAGAATATAGAGGAATCGAGAAAGGTAGTTACAACACTGGATTCAAGCCATGTGAACCAGAAGGAATGTGTAGGTGATATCTAAGGGCGGAGTCTTGCAGAATTAAGCAAGTGTTTCACCTTAACTCTTACTGAGTTAAAAAAAACAAAAAGCTATCAAGAAATTTATCCAAAGTACATACAATGAATGATGTCTGTGATTTCCTTCAAAATTATCTAGTGGCAGCAGGAAGCGGGTGGAGGGTATTAGCCGGGAGTATAGAAGAAACAGGATCGTCTATGAATTGATAAGTGTTGAAACTAGGTGACAGGTCCATGGTGATTCATTATACTGCTCTCTCTGTGTATGTTTGACATTTCCCGTAATAATAAGTAAAACAAAACAAAATAAAATAATATATGACTCATTCAGAGGGGGAAAAAACTCAAAGGAAGAATGACTTAAAGATATGAAGAGCTTTCAAAAAAGAAACACAATCAATCAATCCAATTTAGGGAGAAAATGTGTTTGTTTTTGAAGTGCGGGATGAGGAGGCAGCATCTAGAGCCATGTGACTCAACCAGGCGACATTTGGGGGGGTATTTTTGCTTGTTGTATTACCTGGTGGCAATGCTGGTTCTCAGTGAGTGGAGAACCAAAGATGCTAAAAGTCCTTCAACCCAGGGACCAAAGAATTGCCCCCTATGATGCCAATAGTGCCCCCACCAAACAGCACTGATCTGAGGAAACCAAAGCGCCAAAGTGGCCCCTGAGGAAGCTCTTTATTTCCCTGATCTTAAAAGCACATGGCCCGGGGGCTGGCCCCGTGGCCGAGTGGTTAAGTTCATGTGCTCCGCTGCAGGCGGTCCAGTGCTTCGTTGGTTCAAATCCTGGGTGCGGACATGGCACTGCTCATCAAACCACGCTGAGGCAGCATCCCACATGCCACAACTAGAAGGATCCACAACGAAGAATATACAACTATGTACCGGGGGGCTTTGGGGAGAAAAAGGAAAAAATAAAATCTTAAAAAAAAAAAAATATACCGACTGTCTGGAACTGCTAATGTAATGGGGAGAAATATAAAAAAAAAAAAAGCACATGGCCCATGATTGGGAAGGATAAGTAGAGGATGAATAATAAAAACCCCAAGGAACTGTAAGAAGTGGGTCAAGAAAGCCAAAGACTGAATAGCTGGCCGAGAGTCTAAAGTCAGCACAATATTGAGATGCAATAAGAATATAACATTTGTGGGTTTCAGAAAGAGGGGGAAATTTCCTATAATCTAGAAAAGGTAGCATAAACGTGGCTAAAAGAGAATTGAAGAGCAAAATGGTAAGAGGGTAAATAGTGAGAAAGCACCACCGGGAGATTATGCCCATACTCCCATGAGGCTGTGCGAGGACCACTTACCCTAGAAGACTCAACCCCCACTCAGGCTCTGGGAGCAACCTGTCCCCATTCAGGAAAATCTGGTAAGCCACAGGCCAGTAGCTCCATCAGTGGGTAAGCAAGCCTGACCTTTGGAATCAGCATTTCTGCTCTGGCCTCCTGCACTACTGATCAGGTCCTAACTTTAAGTAGCTTATAGTCTGATTTGGGGAAGCAAAACACATTGAAACAACAAGTCCGAATGTCAAAAGACCCCATAAGATTAAGTCCTAAAGGAGTTGTGCCAATGGTTAATAGCCTAAGTCAAAGAAAGGAATAGCTGTGGCTTCAAGTTGGCAGGAAGTGCTTTATGAAACAAAAGAGGATGTGACTCTGATCTTAAAAGAGGGGCAAGTCTTGAATAACCCTAGAAAAAGAAAGGGAACATTTGAAGGAAGTACAGAATTGAAAGAAGGAAAGAAAATGAACAAAGGCCTCATCCCCGACCATGTCCTGACCTAGGACTTCAGCGCTAATGACTTTCCTAGCGGGCATGCACTTGCACTCTGGCCTTCTTGTCGCACTCAGCCCTTGAATACTCCTGGGCTCTTGACTTCTCCGGTGGACCTGCCTCTGACTCATTGTTGCTTCG